CCAAAATCACTGCAGATGGTGACTGCAGCCATGAAATTAAAAGATGCTTACTCCTTGGGAGAAAAGCTATGACCAACCTAGACTGCATATTAAAAAGCAGAGACATCACTTTGCCAACAAAGATCCGGCTAGTCAAAGCTATGGTTTTTCCAGTAGTAGCGTATGGATGTAAGAGTTGGACTATAAAGAAAGCTGAGTGCCAAAGAATCGATGCTTTTGAACTGTGCTGTTGGAGAAGACTCTTGAAAGTCCCTTGGACTGAAAGGAGATCCAACCAGTCCATCCTAAAGGAGATCAGTCCTGAATATTCATTGGAAGGACTGATGCTGAAGCTGAAACTCCAATACTTTGGCCACCTGATGTGAAGAACTGTCTCACTGGAAAAGACCCTGATGCTGGGAAAGACTGAAGGCAGGAGGTGAAGGGGACAACAGAGGATGAGATGGTTGGATGGCATCACCAACTCAATGGACATGAGTTTGAGTAAACTCCAGCAGTTGGTAATGGATAGGGAGGCCTGGCATGCTGCGATCCATGGGGTCACAAAGAGTCGGACACGACTGAGCGACTGAACTTAGACAAAAATTATTAGATATAAAGAGCATCACTACAAAAAACAAAAGATGCTGAGATACATGGAAATAACATCGTTAACATTTTTCACAGTATTTTAAAGTTTCTAATACCCATAGGATATGAGACTAAGAAGGCATTATGTTCACAGTATGACCTTTTAATGGTGCGTATTTCTTATAATACATTCTACATAAGGAAATAGGCAGAAGAAAAGGTACCTGAATATTAACCATGCCTTGACTTTGGGAAGTAAGTCCAATGTCTTCTGCCAGTTATGACAACTGGCTTTTATAGCTCTGGTTTCTAAACTTGGGACCTTTACATTAACAGGCATGATTAATCTGTTATCAGTCAACTATCATCACCTTTGTCATCAGAAAGCTCTTAGTAAGCACCTTCACTTTACATGGGGATGGACTAGACACAGAAGACTCACTACACAACCAAGGCCTATACTTACTTCACTGGAAAGAAACAGTACAAATAAGCTGATAGGAAAGTTGGAGCAGGAAGACAGCATCAGGCTTCACAACAACATAGAAGAGGAAAGAGAAATTCAGGATGCAGAAACAGAGAGAGTGAGGCTTCATGAACCAGGGTGAAGGCTAATGCAGAATGTATTTATAAAGACATGATGCAATGAGATGGAGAAAAGATAAGAGGTCAAGAAAGGCTGATGAAGGGCAGTCACTGAGATACTGAGATTTCCACATTTGGTCTTGATGTGAGGTTAAGCACAGTGAAAAGAGAATGCAGCAGGGAGGATGGCAAATCATAGAGAATAAATAATTCTCAAGTAATCCAGAAAGTCATAGGCAGAGATCATAGAGAAGATTTACACACACACACACACACACACACACACACACACACACACACACCCCTCCCAAAATGAGCTCTATAAGTATCATTCAAATGAATCAGTTTCATAAATTGGGTTTTTCTAAGTGTGTGCAAAAACTCTTCAAATAGGTTGAGCAAATTACTGTCCCTTGCTATCTTTTTAAAATGTTCCTTGAAAGGCTAACCCCCTTCTGTAATAATAAAAGGATTTGCAATGCATAAAACAGAAGGCAATAGAGAAATCATTCAAAACCCTGCTCAGACCTTTCTTATAGCTCATGTCATACTGACTCCTAGAGGGCTAACAAGATGAGAAAAAAAGGAGGGTCCATGCCACTCCTGCATACTTGAGGAAGGAAACTTGGCAAATGCAATGAGCTAGGAGAAGGGAAAAGCAGTGAGCCAGAGGCTGTCCTGCTGCCCTACCCTCAAGGAAAAGAGTCAGTGCTCCCAACCGCCACTCCCAGAGCCACCTGCCCTTTCTCAACTGTATAGGAAGGGACTGTCCACCACCCAGAGCAGCCATTCCGGTGAAGTGCCCAACCCTATGACTTTCTGTTTGATGCAGACATTTGAAACATGTTTTCTTTAGCTTTTTATTTTACATTGGAGTACGGCTGATGAACAACACTGTCATAGTTTAGGTGGACAGCAAAGGGACTCGGCCATGTATGTAACATGTGTCATGCATCCATTCTCCCCCACACTCCCCTCCCATCCAGGCTGCCACGTAATACTGAGCAGAGTTCCACGTGCTGTCCTTGTTGGTATTCCATGTGCTTATTGGTCATCCACAGTGTGTACATGTCCATCCCAAACTCCCTAACTATCCCTTCTCCCTATCCTTCCCCACTGGTAACCATAAGTTTGTTCTCTAAGTCTGTAAGTCTGTTGAAACCTGTCTTGTTTTCTCGCTTCATCGTTCAGGGTCTCCCAGGATTCATCATCATCTCTACTGGTTGACTCCATTGAGATGCCTTCGAGAACCTCCCAAAGTGAATTTCTGACTTCCACACAGCTTATATTTTAATTCAAAACATCATTTACTGTGTCTGCATGCAGTAGTAGTAGTGTTAAATCACTCAGTCATGTCAGACTTAGAGACCCGATGGACTGTAGCCCACCAGCCTCCTCTGTCCATGGAATTCTCCAGACAAGAATACTGGAGTGGGTTGCCATTCCCTTCACTAGGGGATCCCTACCCAGGAATCGAACCTGGGTCTCTTGCACTGCAGGTAGATTCCTTACCACTGAAGCACCAAACAGTAGTACTAGGCAAAAAGAAATATTTTCCTTATAGATTGATCCACCGAGGCAAGGGTTGGCCTTACAATTGCAGGGGACTTAATGCTTTATGAAATAATGTCATGCACATGATTCTTTCATGCTTCAAGTCACTACCCTTCCTAACCCTTCAAGAGCCCCCAATTCCCAACCCCAGCTTTAAACACTGCAGTGATTTTCTATTTTTTTGTATAAAGACCCAAATCTTCATCATGGTGTCTAACCTCTACCTCTAACTTTTAATTCGCAGCACCCTACCTCACTGTCCTCTGTACTTCAGCTACACAGAGCTTCTATCAACTCCTCAAACAGGCTACATGACTTTTGCACATATTTTTCTGTGTTAAAAGCTCTTTTCCACCCCCACATTTTGCCAGTTAATTATCACCCTGCCTTGGTTTTCAGTTCCACTGTCTCATCCTTGGGGACAACTGACATCTGCATGTATCTGTCATGTCTGACTCTTTGCAACCCTTTGGACTATAACCTGCCAGGCTCCTCTGTCCACTGGGATTTTTCAGGCAAGAACACTGGAGTGGGTTGCCATTTCCTCTTCCAGGGGATCTTCCTGACCCAGGGATAGAACCCATGTCTCCTGTATCTCCTGCATTGCAGCTGGATTCTTCACCAACTGAGTTATCAGGGAAGCCTTTCCCAACTTCCCTGATCAGGTCAATTCCCTTTACAACTCTTCATACCTTCCTTTTTTAGCACTTAATGCAGTTATACATTGGCTTGTATGACTGTTTGGTTACCTTTGTCTCCACCAACAGACTATAAGTTCTTTAAGGAGCAATACCTAGGACATCGATTTTTTTCTCATCAGTGTATTCTATGGTACTAGTTCAGTTCATGACACATGTATTCTACAATATTTAGTAAAAAAATGAATTCATAACAATCTGTATGTGGAGGGATGTAATCATATTGTACATCTACACTTGAGAAATGTGAAAGTGGAGGCTCAGATTTTAAAGGATTTGCTCAAGAAGCACAGACACAGGTATTTGACTTCTTACATTAGGACCTTTTACTAGAAAGGAATTGTTTCAAGGACTGGAAAGCACTGCCTGGCATATAGTAGGTGACTGGTTCAGACTTGCTAAGTGAAGAAATGAAAATAAAAATGAAAGTAGCAAAGAATAAATGATGAACTTCAACATGGTTTTCATTAAAGAGAATAGTCTTGGCCATGACACTGGACAGGTGGCATCACTTTTGTAGGCCTCAGCTGAAATTTAAACTTGGTGACTTTATACTTTGTAAATCTGAGATGCTGTGCTTCCAAACTCCTCATACCTTGGGATTCTATCTCACAGCAGGTACCTACATATGGTGGCTGAGTTACTTAGCGGCCCAGATTTGACTTTATGTTTTGGATCATTTTTAATGTATTCAGAGAGCAATTATCCCTATGCAACAAGAGGCAGTTGCAGGGGCAATTACATCAAGGATAACATATGGCAGCAACAGAAACAATAGAAAGTTATTGCAGGCTGTTAAGCACAGCAGATGGAAAAGCATCATTATAACCTTGACAGTTGACCCTGGGACTTCCAGATATATTATATAGTTATATGCAAGGAAGCAAGAAACATCTGGCCCCCAAAATATCATTGAGAATTGTCTTGGCATTGTTCAATGACTCAGAAACTAATAAAAGGGAATCATGAATGGTCTCAGTCATTCAGCCAAGAATTAGGTAGAAACTATAAGGGAAAAGGCATCTTCTTTTTCTAACAGATTTGGAGATTTTTCATCTAACTAGCCATACATACATGTTCTCCCTGACTGTCTCCTAACCAAATTCCCCACGAAGGTACTCAAAAATCAAGAGGTAGCTTACCCTTCCAGATTCATCTCTCACCTACTTCCTGACCTAAGCTCATACTCTGGCCTCATAATGCAGTTTTCTCCTGGCCCCCTGAGAAATCTCATGGCTCCTTCAAATACAGTTCAAATGTCATTTCCTCCTTGAAGCCTTCCACTAAGCTCCCAGGTAGAGCTCAGTCCCAGGTGATAGCACTGACAACCATCTGATTTACATTATGATTACTTGTCTGTCTGTTTCTGTCTCTTTCTCCAGCCCTAACCATCCCACTAGCCTGTAAGACTCTTGAAGATAGGGTCTATGTTTGATTCATAATAATATGCCTCAAGAACATAATTGCATGTCTGACATTTACGAAGACTACTGTGTTAAATGCTGGGTGGCAACTAATCAATAGATGAATTAACTGTACTCAAAGAATGAATTCTATTACATCAGCCCATAATAATAATGTTTATTTTATCAGGGAATTTTTAGTAACCTCACTTTAACTCCAAAGAACTAACTCCAATGCTAAGAAGTTCAAGCATACCAATATGCCAATAATGGAACTTTCAGAAGAGGTATTGTATTATTTACTTCTTACCTTTCAGCTAAAATTATTAAATTCTTTCTATGCCGGGCACAGAACTAGAGTTTTGCATGCACTATCTCATTTACTCTTCAAATAATCCTAAGAGGTATTACTATTCTCATTTTCAAACAGGGTAGTTGACATATAAGCAGATAAGTTACTTTCCCCAGGACACAGGGTTAGTAAGAGACAGGGCTTGGGCTTGAATTCAAATCTGAAAACCTGTACCTAAGACTGAAATGTGAACTCCTTGCCATCATGCGTTCTCCATGCAGCTAGGACCAACTCTAGTATCTGAACTGACTAATCATAATCTTTCACGTTTTTCTTCACCTCTTATTATTTTTAAGTTACTTAATTTTACTCACACAGAAACTTTCACAGATATTTCACTTTCATAGCTATTTTATAATCCTCCCTGATAGATCTCTACTTCCTCTATGAAGTTATTATCAGTATTTAAGGACTCATTTTATCCGTCAATTTTAGAGTAAGAAAACAGACACAGAGAAGTTAAGAAACTTGACCAAAGTCACACAGCTACTAAGAGTGAGAGTCCAGAGTGAACCCAAGCCATTTGACTCTCACACCCATGTGCTATCATCCACTTCCTTAGGGCATTCGTGCATCAATCTGGAAGTCCACTGGACAAAGTGTCTGGGACTGTTACCCACCCATGCAACACCTTAGTCAGTTCCGTTACAGCAATCAAAATCACATAGGAATACAAATGTCTTATTTTCAAAGAAAACAAAATCCATGTGTTTTCTTACATATAAAATGGGGCCTAAAATCTCTGCCAAGCAGTAATTTTACCTCATCTGCTTCCATTAGATGGTCTCGGTTCTGCTTTCATCACTAACTGGCATTGTACTGCATTAGACTTAACTTATTCCTTTTAGATAAACATAGGTCAATAATCTCAAACTCATAGTCACCTGCCTGGTTGGTCAGACTGTTTTCTCATTTCCAAGAGATCATTGTCCTCTATCTAATACATGATATCTTGATAAAGTAATAATCACCTCCACATGAGATCTTGATACAGTAATAACCACTAGCATTTACTGAGTCCATCCTATGTCAGACACTGTGTTAAACTCCTTCACTCAGATCCCTCATTCACATAATCCTTTTATTAGACCCGGGATGCTGAGAACCATACCCGAGGGCCCATGGCTGGATCCCAGCTCCAACTCAACCACTCAGCTTATTCTTAGCCTCTCCTGCCACTATTCTGATCTCTTTTTTCCCTCTCTGTAATATAAAGAAATGTATCCAAACAGAATTTAAAAAAAGAAAAAAATAAACAGAGTACCTGATAAGACCCAGCTCTTCTCCATTCAAATCCACCATTTTCAAGAGCACCATTTCCTTGTCTGTATTTGAAGAATACCTAGTCAGCAAAATAAACAAACTTAGTGAGTTCTAGGCTAGAGCCTGGCCCTTGTGTATGACAAAGCAGAAGCTGACACAAAAAACAAAATGACTCTCAGTAAGCAAGGTTCCCTGATACTTGTAATCCTACAAACTGCATCCAGGGTCTTATTTCTTAGCTTAAAGAAATGTTTGCAACTGTGACCAAAGTTAGGGGCACAGGTCAGATAATGAGATGAAATGTATGTTTTTATATAATATCTGCAATATTATATAACATATATTATTTCTTATGGAAAAGGATTAGTCTTTGAAATTTCTACTTGTATCAAGTCTTAATGAAATCTCTTAAAAATAGCAGGTAATATGCAAACTCAAAAGCATTCCTGACCTACAACTTAAAGGGTTCTTTTATGTCCTTTGGAGGGAAATCAGAGTATATTTTCTAAAACTCAACTCCTTTGAAATCTATCAGAAAAAAAGTAAACAAATAAAAATGTCAGGTTGAAGTGAGATATTATTTTATTTTGCCATAGTAGCCAAGTACTTCTCTTCTCTCATGAACCCAGTTTATCACATTAAAAAAAAATTTTAAATAATGACCTTTCTTAAGTTGTCCCATTCAATTATGTCAGTTTTATGGCTTGCTCTTCATGCCAATTTCTTTATTCTTTTACCTTATCTATCTTGCTACATTCCCCTGGACTAAAATGATTTCTTCTGAATAATGTAATAAAAAGAGTTATTCATTAATTGAACAAATATATGTTATGCATATTTTTGCATTTTACAGATGAGAAGCTGAGAGTCAATAAATTAAGATTTAAGTAAATCAATAAAGGTCACACAACTACAAAGAGATAAAGCTAGACAAGACCACAGTTGCACCTGATTTGAAAGCCTAGAATCCTTCAAACATTCACATCCAATTCCCACAGCCAGCAAAGTAGGAAGATGTGTACACAGGTTTTTCTGTGCTTCTACAGTCTCATTTTATTTCTGATTGTTTTAGATTATAGACAGCTTTTAAATTATTTCAGCCTTAACACTCCTTCAGGCTCTCGCCATATCCATCAACTAACAACCCTGTTCTTAGATTTTGTTGATAGTTCCTAAGGGAAAGCACATGCATTTCATTCCGATAACTGGCCCCCTCACCTTGCTCTCTCTGACTGTGGATTCCGAAGGTAAGAAGTAGGACTTCGGTTGATCTGTGCACCATCCACAGTCCCTTTATTGATAAAGATTTTGCCTGGTTTCATATTTGTGTGTGCTATCTCAATGCTCTATGGGTTAAAAAAAAAAAGGTTGTAAAGTTAGAAATCCTAGTGGGCATAAGAACTTAGTTGATATAAATAGAAGAGCACTGTGGACAATTTCTTTTGTCTCCAACTTATCCCTGCTATGGGATGAAAGCTGGAGAGCCACAGAGCTGGTGTCATTCTGAGCTGGTATCCGAGATCCTATAGGGACTCTTTGTATCATAAGAGACCTCTCCTAAGGTGCTGTAAGCAATGCTAAACAACAGTTGCCTTGAAATTCCCTTGCCTACCTTCACAATGCCAGTGACCATGTACTCAAAAGTTCGATTGCTAAATCCTTCACTGGCAACTACAAATGTTGTGTACTGGAAATATCCTGCTGGACCCGAGTGTGTGTGCGTGCCACTCAGAATGACGTTGTCTCTTCTGTACAGGGAGCCGTATTTATTCTGCAGCCTGCTCAGGACCTTGAAGAAAAAAAGAACAAGCAGAACTAAGAAGAGGAATAACACAGGTGCTTAGCCTGAGAAAAAGCTCTGATGAGGCTAATCACTATGCTGGACATCCCTGTTAAGTGACCTTTCACTCTATGCTTGAGTTTATCATCTCAGTAACAATGACATCAACCATAATTGCAATTGCTAACATTTTATAAATTCTTCCCACGTGCAAGCACAATGCTAGGTATTACATCATGCCATTTAAAAATCTTTATAACACCACCAAGAGGTAGGTATTTTTAATCTTATCTTTTAGCTAAGAACATTGATGTGTCCAGAAGTAAAATAAGTTGCCCAGTGATATAACAAATAGCAGAGTCAGAGTCTAGATCCAAGTCTACCTATAGACCTAGTACTCTCACCAGTTCATTGTCCAGACACTGTTCTAAGCACTAGGGATATACGAGGTCCCTACCCTGAAAAAGTTTTTATTCTAGTTAGGGAAAGAAAAATATGTAATATTACATTACAGAGTGATAGATGCTAAGAAAAAATATTGTTAGGTAAGGAAAAAGAACATGATAGGCATTAGTGAGGAACGATCTTTCCACAGATGTTGCCTTTCATCAGAGGCTTAACCAAAGAGAGCAAGATGGTCATGCAATACCGGAGTTGAGTGGGGCCAGCACCCTGGGAGCAGTGAACAGGCAGGGGAAAAGCCTTTTCACTGTCTCATTTCCCAAAATGAAGAACTCAGTATTCCCAGACACAGACACTTACACTTCTTGGTCTGGGGAAGACCGCCCGCTATGACCTGAGAACACCCCAGCATCCCTGTGGGTAGGCGCATGGGGAAAGGAATCATCTTGTCATCACTAACTTGCTGGCCATTGGTGAGCAACCGTGGAAGGTGATCCCTCATCCTCAGACCAGCTTCAAACACTTGCAGTCACAGCCAATATCTTGATACAAAAGTAATGATATGTGGCTGTGGTTCTAACACAAGTCAGACTCACCCAACACAGCCACTCACCAAACCCTGAGCAATAACACATAATTATTGTTACTTTAAGCCATTGAGTTTTCTGATGACTTGCTGCATGCAGTAGATACCTAATTCAAAGAGTCAGTAAATGTTCATTGAATTAGTCAATGAACATCCAAAGAAATAATAAATAATTAATGTCTTTGGAGGATATACACACATCAAGAAAATTCACTAACTTGCTGGCCATTGGTGAGCAACCGTGGAAGGTGATCCCTCATCCTCAGACCAGCTTCAAACACTTGCAGTCACAGCCAATATCTTGAGTTAACCTCATGATACAAAAGTAATGATATGTGGCTGTGGTTCTAACACAAGTCAGACTCACCCAACACAGCCACTCACCAAATCCTGAGCAATAACACATAATTATTGTTACTTTAAGCCACTGAGTTTTCTGATGACTTACTGCACAGCAGTAGATACCTAATTCAAAGAGTCAGTAAATGTTCATTGAATTAGTCAATGAACATCCAAAGAAATAATAAATAATTAATGTCTTTGGAGGATATACACACATCAAGAAAACAACAGAAAATTAGTGATGTTGCCGAGTACCTATTTCTCTCTCTCTCTCTTTTTTTTTTTTTTTGGCTAAAATGTCTCTTTTTATTGAAGTATAATTGACTTTGAAATACTGCATTAGTGCTGAATACCTATTTCTAGTTTTGCTCTAATCATCTGCAATATAAAGTTTGGCATCACTGTGGCTTGTGAAACATGTTTTGACCTTTTTGTTAAAAATTATTAAAATGTTCCAGCAAAAGTGTCAATCCCAAAGCAACCTTCCTCAGTGTAAGATACTATAACCTAATACCAGGGACAATAGTGAAAACTCATTTATGTCAGAGCAGGCAAATACTGCTTATCTCATGCATTTAGTCCTGTTTGTGGGTGGCTGCTATCAGAAGTAGTGTGCTGAGAAGGATTCTGAATCCAAATCTGGGCTTAGCAAAAAGGAGTACTTTGGGGTGGGGGTGGCATGTCATAGGGCATGTAGGATCTTAGTTCACTGACCAGGGATCAAACCCAAGCCCCCTGCAATGGAAGCACAGAATCTTAACCACTGGATCACCAGGGAAGACCCAAAAGAGTGCCTTTTTTGATTAGCAGTGCTGTCCATTTTGAGTATGGTATAGGCAGTAGTATGCTGATAAACAGTTTCTCTGAAAGAAAAAAGAAAACCCTTATTTGTATCATCTGCCAATTTCCATGATGTAAATACTCTCACCATAGTGAATTTCAAACTACCAAAAGTTTAACCTCCAGTTCACAAAGTTTCTAAATATTTGACAATCAATCCTCACTAGGTGGTACAAGCCGGTTCCAGCACACCACGGGTGCATAAAGAAGCAGCAGCAACTGGTGTGTTACCTACTGAACCTACATAAACACATCCATTTAACTTCTTCTATTTTAGGTAAAGAGCTCCACCACCCTCATTCTAGTCATGTGGTCATTGAATCAGGAAGAGATATCACAAACCATCTGGTCTCCTTAACTTCTCCATGTCCCAAATACTGATTGCTAGATTTACCACATCCATGTAAGCAATACCAGGAAAATGTGGAAAGGAAATAGAAAGGAATTAGACCAACACTGGGCTTCCCTGGTGGCTCAGTGGTAAAGAATCTGCACTGTGTGCCAACGCAGGAGACACAGCTTTAAGCCCTGATCTGGAGATTCCCTGGAGAAGGAAATGGCAAACCACTCCAGTATGCTTGCCAGGAGAACCCCATGGACAGTCCATGGGGTGGCAAAGAGTAGGACACAACTTAGTGACTTAACAGCAACAATAAAGACCAACATTATAAGCCCACATTCTTCATCCCAGTAAGGTTCCACATTCTTTCTGTTTGATTCTAATTTCAGCCCAACTCTTCCTCACTCTTACATATTGTTTTACACAGTAACTATTACTGCTTCATGAAGAAGAAACGTCTGTAGGGAGAAGGGGAAACCATCAATGAATGGGCAACATAAAAGCTTAAGCAAAGTAAAAAGCTGATGTTCTACACTGCTATGCTGAAAATGGATAACCAACAAAGACCTACTACAAAGCAAAGGGGGCTCTGTTCCATGTCGCGTGGCAGCCTGGATGGGAGGAGAGTTTAGTAGAAAATGGATAAGTATATATGTAAGGCTGAGTCGCTCTGCCGTGCACCTGAAGCTATCACAACATTGTTAACTGGCTATACCACAATATAAAATAAAAATTTTATTAAAAATAGAAGCTGATATTTTTACAATTATGTAACTAAGGCAAGAAGGTTGTGGAAAAGAAAGAACTGTCAGTCAACTTTCAAACTCTAATGTCCCACCCATTTTTACTTCTAATGAACTGTAACAGGATTTTTAGAATTAAGTACATTAAGTACATTCTATGCAAGAATCAAGCTCTTAAAAACATAGAAATCATGAATCTTGAATTTCAAAACGAAAAGACTACAAACAGCTCACAGAAATCTTATCCTAAGCTTTAGTCTCTGAGATGAAGTCAGACATGTGAGACTTCTGGGAAAAAGAAAAAAATTAAAGACTCCGTCATCTATTAACAACACCTGCCAATAACCATTATAAGTACCATGTTTCCTACTTCATGAAAGGAGGAATATTTTTATATAGACCTATAAAGTTATATTAATGTCTATAGCTCAATTGTCTGACTTCAGTTTCCATTCCATTTCCTATTGCTGACACTCTTGGAAACGTGACGTGGAAAGAGCTAGAAAAGTCACTCTGTTCTCCTGTCCGGCGTCACTGCTTGGAGATCTTTTCTTTAACCTTTTCTCCATGCTGCAAATGTTATCACTCTTAGAGGTGAGGCTGAGAACCTGACTAAAACTGGGTGTTATCATAAACTTAATGGCACTAGTCTAGTTAGATTTATTTTTCACATTTTCCCCTTGAATTAACAGGATAAGTAAGTGGGTTCATTTCAAAGTCTTTCCTCTGGGTCTCAGATTGCAGGGGAAGTAAAAATTGGAAGAGATGGTTAAATGGTGCCCACTATTGACTGGATGCTGCTGCTGCTAAGTCACTTCAGTTGTGTCCAACTCTGTGCAACCCCAAAGACGGCAACCCACCAGGCTCCGCCGTCCCTGGGATTCTCCAGGCAAGAACACTGGAGTGGGTTGCCATTTCCTTCTCCAGTGCATGAAAGTGAAAAGTGAAAGTGAAATCGCTCAGTCATGCCCGACTCTTATCGACCCCATGGNCTCCCCCATCCCTGGGATTCTCCAGGCAAGAACACTGGAGTGGGTTGCCATTTCCTTCTCCAGTGCATGAAAGTGAAAAGTGAAAGTGAGGTCGCTCAGCCGTGTCCGACTCTTAGCGACCCCATGGACTGCAGCTTACCAGGCTCCTCCCTCCATGGGATTTTCCAGGCAAGAGTACTGGAGTGGGGTGCCATTGCCTTCTCCAATTGACTGGATAGTGGTCTCTAACCCAACACATTAAATCCCTATCCCCCCCATACTCTACCCCCAAAGGTAGAGTGTGGAAAGCACAGAAGTTTGAAGTCTTATTTTGACTTAATGAAGCCACAATTTCCCAATCAGAACCATTTTTGATTCCTCAGAAAAACAGTATAGTGCTGTGGTTATGACCATACTCTCCAGCAGGAAGATGTCAGTGTTTGAATCCCAGTTCTGAGGGTTCCTAGCTGAGTACCCTTAGACAAGTTACTTGGTACTCTGAAAATCAGTTTCCCAATCTGTCAGATGACATAATAACACCTTGTAAAATCTCCCCATACCTTATCCTCTGTTTGAAATGCCTGGTGCGATTACTGTTTTCCCAACTGAAGTCTCATCAATAGAGCCTGGATGTTAATTTAAGGTGTGTGTCTTCACCTCTCTCGCTGGTCTATTTCAACCTACCTCAAACATCACCGTCTGATTAATCATCCTAAAGCAGAACTGTGTTTGCACCGCTCCCTTGCAAAAGTTTTCTAAGAATCTCCATCACCCAGAATTATAAACAACCAAGCATTCCAGAGGCCTACAAATTATGGCCAACATATCTTCCAGGCATATTTCCATTTACATTTCTCCCTGTGTTTCTGTGTATATGATTTGTACATGTACAAATCAAGCTGTCCCCTTGATTTGATAGCTTTCTCCCCCAAGTCAACCAATTCTACTCTTTCAGGGACTTCCCAGGTGGTCTAGGGCCTAAGACTCCTTGCTCCCAATGCAGGGGGCCTGGGTTCGATTCCTGGTCAGGAAACTAGATCTCACATGCTACAACTAAGACCTGGTGCAGCCAAATAAATAAATAACAACAAATATTAAATAAATAAAACTCTACCCATTCAAGTGCCATTTCCACTGCTCTTTTGAGTTACTCACTATAAGGGAGACCAGTTGCTCTGTCATGAGGATATGGACAGTGAGGAAACTGTCAGTAGCCCCAAGAGTGAATCATCCTGAAAGTGGATCTTTTAGCCTACCTGAACCTTCAGATGACTGCAGCCTTTGCCAACACCTTGACTGCCAACTACCCTAATTCAGAACCACCTAGCTAAGCCAGCTCTGAATTCCTCATCAACAGAATGATGAGATAAAACAAGAGATGTCCATTAAGTCCCTATTTGGGGGGAGCTATTTATTACTCATGAATAGATATCTATAGTATACCATTGTCATTCATCCCAATAAATTAAAGTTATTTGTATATTTCTGGTACAGTCCTTCCTCTAATCCCCCGACTAGGTAGTGAGTTCATCAACAAGGCTTATGATTCATTTAGCTGTGTGTCCCCTGAAGTGACCAACAAAGTGCCTTGCAAAAAGTCAATGCTCTCCAAGATAAGAGAATGACCTCACTTTTAAGAATGTAGGCTCTGGTATAGAGTCTCTGGTCTCTATATGTAGACCAGGCATATATATGTGTTCAGAATTCAGCT